ATCTTAGAACACAGAATGTCAGAGCCAGGAGGGCCCTTAGAACACAGAATGTCAGAGCTGTTGCTTAAGGAGGACTAGCTGAAAATGGAATTGGACAGAAACCATATCAGAGGCAACAACTTGACTTCGGAAGCTACCTTGCAGATTACTACTAGCCCAAATCATATAACCAAGGATGTGCTGATAAATGTTTAGCAACCACTTCATTGGGGGAAAAAGTATACTTACTTTTAAGTTTAATCTTCATTATTAACATTTTCTCCATCACTTTCTTCAGGCTAGACAATCCACAAAATGGTGAAATGAGCACTGAAATGCTCATACTGAAGGGTTTCAACCTCCTCTAGCTTCTAGGCAGTGGATAGAATGCAGGATTCTGAGTGCTCAGTTCTGGAGCTCCTTAAAAAGCCAGAGCAAGACTCTAACTCTTTCCTTAGGAATATTTGCTCAGCCCGAGATCCATTTCTGGAATTCTGCCTTTAACTTCTGTGGGGGCTCTGTCCTCTTCTTCTTCCCTGGCCGTCTCTTTTCTTTTCTTTCTTTCTTTCTTTTTTTTTTTTTGGCTAGGCAATGGGGTTAAGTGACTTGCCCAGGGTCACACAGCTAGTAAGTGTTATGTGTCTGAGGTCACATTTGAACTCAGGTCCTCCTGAATCCAAGGCCGGTGGTCTGTCCAACCTAGCTGCCCCTAAGTCCTGGCTGTCTCCATCAACCTCCGAGACCATGTGCTTTCTGTGGAAGAGGCAGGGAAGCCCACTCTTCTGTGACCTGTCTTGCCTTTGCCTCTTTATTGAACCAATCAGTGGTGTTAGGAGAAACCTGAATGCTGGAGTACATAGGTTCCAATTCTGGTTCTTGTCCACTGTGTGACATGGGGCAAGTTGTTTATTTTCTCTGATCCTTGGTCTCCTCATCTGTAAAGAGGGTAATGCTATATGAGTGCCCTCCAAGGCAGATGTGAGGAAATTGCTTTGTGAATTAATTGTAAAGCCACTTTAGAAATGTGAAGTCATTTCTTCCTTTTTTCCTCTTGTCTCTTCTTTCTTATTAAGGCAGATTGTTTGAGTGTTTTGAGAGTGAAGACAACGGTGAGTGCCCTTTTGAAAGTCACAGGCCCTTGGATTACAGAAATGAAGGGAAAATTGTATGTGAGAGAAGAGGTGAGGAGGGCCCCACTTTTGAGGTTCTGACAATCCCAGTCTTGCACTGTGTGCTCCTGCCAAGCCAGAGGCTGCTGCTGGTATGGTCCAAGTACTCAATCGTGGGCAGTGTGTGCACTAGACCTGGGATTTCCTTGGTGCAGGAAACATGTACTCTTGTTGGTCACCACCTTCTCTTAGAGAATTTACTGAAAAATTAAGTAACTTGCCCAGGGCCACACACAGCCAGTATGTGTCAGGGACAGGACTTGAACTCAGGTCTTCCAAATTCCCCATTCATACATCCCCACCCCTACCCCCACCCTCCTCAGGCTGACCTTGTATCTACTGCTGGTGCTGCTGCCTCTCAGAAGGTGGCATGGTGGAAAAGACACTGGGCACAGAATCAGGAGAGAGCTAGGTTAGAGTCCCAGCCCTGACACTATCTGAGTGACCTTGGGTAAGTCACTTAACCTTCATGGAACTCAGTTTCCTTGTTTATAAAGTGAAGGGTTTTGGCTGGATTTCTGAGGTCCCTTCCAGCTCTGATGGTAAGCTCTCTATGGTAAGCCAACCACATTTGCACCACCACCAAGGTCCCTTTTAGCCTCATCTTTCAGGAAGAAGGCTCTTTCAAGGGCCATGTTTTAATGATGAAATAGTCACAACTTGCAGTGAGCCTATCAGAAAGCCATTTAAAACATATATCATTCATAAACTGATTAAAAGAATTTGTTCTTTAAAGTTAGTATGCTTCCCTTCCTCCCTTCTTTTTCCTTTCCCTCCTGAAAGAGAGACCGAGACAGAGAGACAGAGAGACAGAGAGAGAGGCAGAGGCAGAAACAGAAACAGAGACATACATACATACATACACTCCTTTTCTCCTAAGGGATCTTAGATTTCCAGTTCTAATTTGCTTGGGCCAACTCTTTCCTAAGAAATTCAACAAAGGTAACCCTAAGCCCAGCCCTGAACTGATTATTCCAGTCAGAGGGAATTGGCTTCTCCCTCCCCTACCCCCACCCCCCACCCCCTCAGCAGGGCTTAGGACCCACTGACATCATTCAGGTGAACAGACCTGGATTTGAGTGTCTGTCCAACTTTGACTTGTTGGATAAGGACCGCAGAACACAGAATGTCTAAGCTGAAAGGGACTTGGGAGCATAAAATGTCAGAGCTGAAAGGGATTTTAGAACTCAGAATGTCAGCGTTGGAAAGAGCCTGAGAGTATAAATGTTAGAGCAGAAGGAACCTTCAAATACAGAATGTTACATCGGACAGAAAATACAGGATGTCAGAGCTGGAAGGGGCCACAGAATGTCAGAGCTGGAAGGGAGGGCCCTTAGAACACAGAATGTCAGAGCTGGGAAGGGCCTTGGAACAGACAATGTCAGAGGAGAAGGAACCTTCAAGTATAGAACGTTACAGCTAAAAGGGCCATGAGAACCCCTTTCATTTTACAGCTGAAGAAACTGAGACCCAAAGCAGTTCCTGGCTTTGTCTAAGATCACAGGGGTGAAAAGTAGCAGTGTCAGAATTTGAATTCAGGTCCTTGAATCCAAGTCACATGATTGATATGGATCAGAACATTGAGGTCATTTAACCAGACCTCCTTCACCTTGACAGATGAGGAAACTGAAGCATAAAGATTAAATCACTTGACCAGTATCCTACCTAGAAGGTGGCAAATCCAGGATTCACACCCAGGTCCATTTCATCCCTCTTCTCCCTACCTAGTACTACTCTGGGCTGCTCCTTCACCAAGAAAACAAAACCAAGCCTTCTTGCCATCTCTCTTCAGTTGCATTGAGGGAGAAAGGGTTCCTTGTTACCAATCCTGTGGCCTTTCTTTAAAATTACTGTGCGTCAGGGGTTTGAGAGCTCCCCAGGCTGGTTTAACGGAATCTGACCCTTTGTTCCTATGTTGTAACAAGTGCTAGATGCTACAGTGGAATGAGGGCCAGGCCTGGAGTCAGGGCAATCTGAGTTTAAATCCATTCTCAGACTCTTACTGTGTGACCCTGGGCAAGCCACTAACAAGTCTGCCTCAGTTTCCTCAGCTGTAAAATGGGGATCATTACAGAACCTATTTGCAGGGTTAGTGTGAGGATCAAATGAGATAATATTTGTAAAGTGCCTGGCACATGGTAAGCGCTATATAAATGCCTATTTCCCCTTCCCCTGTCTTCAGAATCCCCTTTCCTGACCTATCCTTTTCTGTGTGTGTGTGTGTGTGTGTGTGTGTGTGTGTGTGTGTGTGTGTGTGTGTATTCCTCACAGTTGGATGTCAGCCCTTTAAAGGCAGGGATTGTTTCATTTTTGTCTTTGTTTCGCCCAGGGCTTGGTGCAGGTTAGGCACGTGACAGATGAACAGATGTAGAGAATGGATGGATGGATGGATGGATGGATGGATGGATGGATGGATGGATGGATGGACGGATGAGGGTGAGTTCCATAGAAATCTCTGCATTGGGGGAGAAGGGAAGAGCAAGGTCGAAGGGAGGCTGTCTGGCACAAGCAGAGCTAGCTCTGGGGGCTCAGGTCCCCGTGACCTGGAACTAACCAAGGCCAAGTTTGGTGCCATCTCTAGACTCCAGCTCATCCATTAGAGAGGGGATTGAGGTAGAAGATTCTAAGGTCCCTGCCAGCTTTGACCTTCTGAGCCTAGGAGTGGATGAGAAGCAAGTTGGCTTCAGAGTCAGGAGGGCTGGCTTCAAATCCTGCCTCGACATTCATGACTAGATCTCACTCTAGAGGATTGCGGGGTTAGAGCTGGAAAAGACCCGGGATGCTTACAGGCCCAGCTCCCTCATTTTACAGACAAGGAGACTGAAACACAAAGATGTGGTCTGCCCAGTGTCGGCTAAGAACTATTGAAGGTGAAATTTTAACCCAGGCCTTCCTGATTCCAAGTCTAGTGTTCTGTCCACTACACAGGGAGGCAGCGAGGTGGCTCAGGAAGATCATACCGCGTGACCCTGAGCGAGTCAACCACTGTCTGCCTTGGTTTCCTTATCTGTAAAATGGGGATAATAACAGTACCTACCTTCCAGGGTTGCTGCAAGAATCAAATAAGATAATATTTGTAAAGCATTTCATTTTTTTTCTTTTTGCTTTGCAAATATCTTTTAAATAATATTTAATATTATGTTATATATTATTATAGATTATAATACATTATTAATGTCATATGGTAATATTATTATACATCATAAATATGTTATCTATTAATAATATTTATTTTCCCCATTACATGTAAAATTTTTAAAAACTTTTTTTTTTAAGTTTTGAGTTCCAAATTCTATTCCTCCCTCTCCTCTCCCTTCCCTGAGATGGCAAGCGATTTGATATAGGTTATTTGTGCAATCAAGGCATTCTACTTTTCAAACCTTAAAGCGCTGTATAAATGCTTGTTGTTAATATTATTATTGTTAATTATACCTTACTTGCTGGTCTTCCATTTCCTTATCTATAAAATAAAGGCACCGACTTTCCAGGGCATCTGTAAGCCTCGAGTATAAGGATGCCTTGAAGTCTTGAAATTCTCTAGAAATGTCTGCTATTGTTACTAGTTTTATTATTTATGATAGCCATTCAAAGATCCCATGACTCAGTTAACAGGAACTGCCTGGTAGATCCAGTCACTGAGGTGGTATTCCCCCAGCTAACATGAGGAGGGATTCTTGGTAAATGGCCACTGGGAATACCCAAGGACTTTTTCACTTTCTAGGAGGTTGGACCCTGACAAGCTGAAGGTCTTAAATATACCTATACCATCTTGCTCCAATGCAAAAAAAAAAGGGGGGGGAGAAAGATGGAGAACAGTTAGTCATTTCCTTGCATTGTTCTTGTTTTCTGCAGTGTTACTCCGAGAAGAGGTATCTCAGCTGCAAGAGGAGGTTCATCTCCTCCGGCAGATGAAGGAAATGCTCACAAAGGACCTGGAGGAGTCTCACGGAAGCAAGTCCACGGAGATTCTCTCGGCCACCGAGCTCAAAGTCCAGCTGGCCCAGAAGGAGCAGGAGCTAGCCAGAGCCAAAGAAGCCCTCTTGGGTGAGTGTCACACACTGGATGCCCTGTTGGAGGACTGGGTCCTCTCTCTCGGCGAACCCTTCAGCCACCCACCCTCTGGGTAGTCCTGAAGAAAGGAGACAGGCAGACAGGGAATTTCAGGGCCAGGGTGGGAATCGGCATAGACCTGGCGCGATGTTCTGACCAGAGGATGTCTGGAAGAGGCTAGGGGCCACTTCTGAGTCGTAAGAATGGCTCCGAGGCAGAGTTGGGGTGGAATGGGATGCTGTGGTTTGAATTTGCATGACTGCAAGAATCCCTCTAGCTCCCCCACGGAGCAGGATGTGAGGTCTCAACCGGACAGTTGCCAGAATATGTTTTATATTGTCCCCTCTTTCTCAAGGAATAGGTCTACTTGAGTATTGATGCACTAGCCAAAGCTGAAACTAAGGTAGGGCAATTGAGCCTTTGTCCCAAAGGCTCTGAAAGCACTTGCAATGTTTCAGTGACATAACCACAACAGAGCTCATAGATCAAGCGTTTATTAAGCGCTTACTGTGTGCCAGACATTGTACTGTCATTACCATTATCATACCTAACTAGTTAAAATTGGATGCTAACTAGATGGTGTGTCAGAGTGGGCTCTTGCCCTGGCCTCCTATGCCCTATTCCTTCCCGCCACCAGCAGCCTCACCTTGGCATCCCTACTACAAGATGTCACCACCTCTCTCCACTGTGTTTTGGTCTGATTTCCCTCCTTTTCTCCACCGTGTCCCAGCTGGTGAGTTCCTCTCAGGGCTTGACCCCAGCTCACCACTGTCCATCATCCCAGGATTCTGGTGCTTTTCTTTGCTTGGCATGTTTTTTAGTTCCTTTACTGTCAGTCACTGTTATCATCCATTCAGGAGGAAAAAATCCAATTTGTCTATATCTTTTATAAGTATGGGGCTCAGATGTAGACACAGTCATTTAGGTACGTTGTATGAATAAGGCACAGAAAAATGAGACAATCATGTCCATTTCTTTGGCTATTGGGACTTCATGCCATTGAGGGTCATGTGACCTTCGGAGGCTGCTGTGTCTCACCATTGGCTTGTATTGAACTTGCAATCTAATAACTTCACCTAGACCCCCTCCTTCAAGTCTTTTTCATGTGATCTATTATCTAACCAAGTCTTCTCCCATGTTGTACTTGTGCTGTTGATTATTTGGGCCCACGCTTAGAACTTTACATTTATTCCTATTAAATTTCATTATTTTACAGTCAGTCCCTCATTCTAGCCCAGTGAGACTGCCACCCCAGTGTTAGTTATCTCCCCCACCTCTGCGCCGTCTGCTGATTTCATGCCTGCTTGAGAACTATTAAAAAGGCCCCATAGTCCTGCCCATCTACAAAAGCTTTTTCTCCACAATCTTATGCAGACCATTGCTGGGCCTCTTTGTAGTTTCAGCTTCTCCTTAGCTCTAGGATAGCCTTCACCAGGAAGCAGAGAAAGCATCCCTTTCTGGAAACACTCAAGACCAGTCTGAGCAGAGCCCCAGAGACTCTCCCACAGGGGAAATGCTGGCTGGCGCTGGGTGGGGTGAGCTAGCAGTCTCTGCTCACTGAGCTCTGTGAGCCTCCAGAGTGCAGGGACTGAGGCGGGCGTCGGCCAAATGCTGTTTTCACAACCTTTCCCAGCATTGATTCCAGAGACCGCAAAACCTCTCCATGGAATTAACCTCGGAAAGAACCCTCAGCCCTGTTCTCTGCCTCTCAGGTCTGCACCAGCATGCCCTATGCAGCTGGGAGGAGGAGAAAGTCCTTATTCCCTGGGCTCTTCCTGGAAAGGAAGGGAATGAGCAAAGGGAAGAGGCAGAGAGTAACCAGCCTGCTCTTGCCTAAACACACTGGGTGCTCCCCAGTGTAGAGTTATAAAGCCTAGTCCAAATCCACTAACTGGGGAGCGTCACCCTGAGGGCACTGTGTGGTGTCCTAACACGGCATCGGGTCTAAAGGGACCTGAGTTCAAATTCTGGTTCTGCCACTTAGTTCCTCTCTGACCTTGGTTAAGTTACTTAACTATCCTGAGACTGTGGCTTTCACGAGAACTCAAAGGAAAAGAGCAGTTCATTTAGATGCTAGAGTTCTGGGTTCCAATTCTGACCCTGCTCATTACTAGAGCTGTTTGACCTCGGACAAGTCACTTTGTCTCTCTTGCCTCAGTTTCCCCACCTGTAAATTGAAGGAGGGTATGGTGTTAGACTATATGGCCTTTGGAGTGTTTTCTAGATCTGTGTGATCTTGGATTTCATGAAGCTGAAGTCCAGAGAGAACCAAGACCACACAGCTACTAAGTAGGTGAGTCAGGATTCAAACCCAGGACCCTTGCCTGCAAACCTCCTGCTATTTCTGTTATACCTTTTTGCCTGTCAGCAGACAGGATGTCTGGCATCAACTCAATTCAACTAATAGCAGGGGACAGGGATTGAGATGCAAGGACAGGATTTTCTACTGTATGATAGAATGGAAGGGAAGGAGGTTGGTCCATTTCCCAGAACTCAAATATCCAGGAAGGGACTTAGGCACTGGGGGGTGGGGCAGAAGAAAAGAAGTCAGGGGTGGGCAGGGTCACAAAGAACACCTTAATAGCCTGCTTACCAAGGCCCAGCCACAAAACCAGAGCAAAACCAACAACCGAGGCTCGGCCAGAACATGGCCATCAGTGAAGTTGTCTTAATACTGGCACCTCCAGTGTGTAAAATACAGTAAAATTCTTTCTGTGTGACAGGTAGGACAGCAGCTGTGGTTTATCCCCATTTTGCAGAGCAGTTGACTAGGGGTCTTGGGAATTGAAGTAATTCAGTCAAGGGACTTGACTCTAAGCCCAGCACAGATTCCAATCTTATTACCACATTGCCTGTGTCATCATGGTCATGAAGACATCTAGGGATAGGGCTGGCCCTGCAGGTTAGGATTAAGAGGCTCGATGGCTTCTGCTGCAGAACACCAAGCAGATCATAATTAAATTACATCCTAAATTCTTTGTAAGTACTACTTATTCATCCTTTAAACTCCTCTCTAAAGAAATTATAGATCATAGAACCATCAGCTGAGATTGGGAAGGGACCTTAAAGGTCATCTAGCCTTTTTTTTACAGATGGGGAAACTGAGGCTCAGAGATGCCATTCACTGAGAGCCAGAGCTGAAAGGGATCTTAGAGACCACTTGGTCCAACTGCCTAATTTTACAACTAGGGGAAACTGAGGCCCAGAGAGGTAAGGTTACTTATGGAAGGAAGTAGCAGAGCCAGGATTTGATCTTAGGTCTTCTAGCCCCATTAAGCATGATCACAGTCCTCCCTCTTCTTATATGAATGGGGAAATCTTGGCACAGGAAAGCACAGTTCTTTGTCCTCGGCTGTCTAGAAAACCAATGTCTGAGGAGCATATGTAAGACTTCAGGTTCCAAATGCAGTAATAATCACCACGATATTATCTTTTCTCTCCACAATGATGAAATCACAAGTTTGATTCTTTAAAAAAAAACTGATCATTGTCAAAGCCACATAAAGATCCTTTACCCCCATCATAACAAACCTGTAAAGTAGCTATTATTCTTTTTAGCTGTCAGGTAGAGGCAACAAGACAGTATATAGAGGGCTTCAAATTCTGGCCTTAATATACCTTGGCTGTATGACCCTGGGTGAATCACTTAACCCCTCAGTGCCCTTGACAACTTTCTGGGACTATCAGGTTCAGACGGATTGCCCGCCTGTACCAGGGAGGGGGATTTCCACACCAGGAGTTCCCAACATGTGCAAAATCACAGATCTGAGAATCCTCCCCCCAAAAAATCTCCATTTACCAAATGAGGAATCTAAAATGAGGGGATAGGTAAATTAGCTGTCTTCCAAGGTTACTTTAAGACCTCTAGTCTTTAAACATATATGACCTATCTGGGCCTTGATTTCCCCAGCTATAAGAAGTACATTGGACTAGATGAAATTAAATGACTAATCTAAGGTCATACAACAAAATCAACAACAAAAACGGGTGTAGACGAGTCATTGTAATTAATGATAATGATTATAATTGATATTTTCCCAGACCCTCAGAACACTTCCCACTCCCCATCTTGATGATGATGATGGTAATAATAATAGATGACAATAATAGCAGCTAACATTTATATATCACCTACAATGTGCCATGCACTGTGCTAAGTACTTTTCAGTTATTATCTCATTTGCTTCTCACAACTTTAGGAAGTAGGTGCTACCGTTATTCCCATTTTACAGGAAGCAGACTGGGTTTGTGACCTCCCAAGGGTCACACAGCTGGTAAGTGTCTGAGGCTGGATTTGAACTCAGGTCTTCCTGACTCCAGGCCCAGCGCTCTCTCCTCTTCGCCACCTAGCTGTCTATCCTTCCCATTTTAAAGAGGATGAAATAGATAATCAGAAAGCTCGGGCCACTTATCCAATGATCCATACCTACTAAGCGGCAGATTGGGTCCTAGGTATTCTGAATAGTGGTTTGGTATTCTTGTCAGCTGACCTGAGCTAGGGCCCCAGGGAGGGTCAGGCTAAGGAGGAGATGAGGCAGGAAGGAAAGCTTGTGCCCTCTGGTTGAGGATGTTTGCTGTGGGTTGTTGAATCAGAGCTGAAGGTTCCCTGGAGGGACTGTCTAGAATGTCAGCTCTGTGATGGCAGGCACCATTTCTATCTTTGTCCAATGCCCAGTGCCTGGCCCTGACTCGGAAGAGATCCTTTAAAAATGCTTGTTGATAATTGATCTAGTCCAACCACCTGTTTTTATAATGAAGGAAACTGAGGCCCAGAAAAATAAAGTGATTTGCCCAAGGCTCACAGCTAGTAAGTAGGCAGAGGCAGGATTTGAACCCAGGTGCTCAGAATCTGAATCCAGAGCTCTTTCCACTAGCCTGTATCAGGGTTGGTGTTGCCCTGGGATCAGCGCTGTGGAGTCCAGCCAAGGTTGGGATCCAGAGAAGCATTCACCTGCTTCCTACCACCTACAAACCTGGAGAATAAGTCAGATGTG